AGCCCCAGGCTACTTGCTTTCGTTAGTTCTAATCCCTGGAAGCACAAAACTGTTTCGCATTGTGAAGGTGACATAAAAGTAAGATGTGTTAATGAGGCTCTGGGGTCTCTGAATGCAACAGTTTGATAAATTAGGAGAGCACAAGCAAAATGTCTCACACTGTCATCCAATCAGATTACAAGTTAAGCCTAGTTGGGCAGAATGTATCTGACTGCAATTTCAAGGTTTCATCACGTAAATGAAGTGCAAAGGGCATTGCTTAATTCCTCATCAACACATTTAATTAGCAACCTTATTAAACACTTCCCAGATGACTACCTTTTGCAAAACAAATGGCCCTCCAGTGGATATCATATGTTTTAGCTTTTCTGAAAACTTCTGTAAAGCAATTATTCCAGTGTTATGATAGGATCCTTTTGACCAAAAACCTATATTTTACCACTAGTGAAGTTAATCGTAATTTTTTGACCAAAAACCTATATTTGTTCTTTTACCACTAGTGAAGTTAATCGTAATATTCCCACAGAACACAGTTCGTAGCATAACTTTTCTGTTGTGCTTTTTACAGAATTGACAGGTTTCAAGCGTGAAGACTAAGACTCCCTGATTGCCTCCTGCTTCATCTGCCTGACTGTCCGTAGCTTGCACTTTGGTAGATGCAGCACTGCTGCAGCTATGGAGGGCATCTGCCATGGCATCTTGTGCAATACTCCCATCTCCAGTTGACCAACACAACATCTCCCAAGATGCAGCACATGTAGAGGGACAGGAGTAGCCCTGACTGCTCAGGTGATACAATTCTAGTACCCACAATAGAAGTCTTACCAACAAAATGGAGTACTTCAAGCTGCTAGGTTAAAAGAAACATTAGTGCAATGATTGAACAGAAAAGTTGAGCTCTTAAAATGTGTAAATATTGCAAAACATACAGCTTTCCTGAAATCATTAACTCATCCATCCTGTATACACTGTATATACCCTATCTTCTACGCTACATTAACACCTGTTCAACAAGGAAGAGAGGAGAAAAAATAACTTCTTTTTTTTTTTTTTTAATAGACATTTTCACGTTCATACTGCCATTTAAATCTATCCAGGAGTGCAGACAACTGAAAATATTTCTGCGTGATGGTTGTGTGATAGCCTTTTAAAACAAAATAATTTTCTAAGAAATCAGAACCACAGAGAACTTAGTGGTTACATTAGTGGGAACATATACATCTGTTGTGCTAACTTTTTGGAGTTTGTTGCCTAGAACAAAACCCATAGCTCTCTCCTAGATATCTAGGCTTCCTATTTCCCATAGATATGGGGAAAAGCCAGACTCCTTAACTTTAAGTAATCATAGCATAGAAGATACTATGACATTTAGAAAGAGATCACTGAAGACAGAGTGCATCTTATGCCCTTTCGGCCTTCTCAGGCCAAGAGAAGAAACAACTCTCTGAGAAAATATGAGCTAATCTTTTGGTCCTTATTACTGTGACTTCTGCATAACTGAAGCCAGCGCAAAGCAAAAAGAAAGAATCATAGAATCGTAGAATGCTTAAGGTTGGAAGGGACCTGTAGAGGTCATCTAGTCCAACCCCCCTGCACACGCAGGGTCACCTAGAGCACGTGGCACAGGACTGCGTCCAAGCGGGTTTTGAAGATCTCCAGAGAAGGAGACTCCACAACCTCTCGGGGCAGCCTGTTCCAGTGCTCTGGCACCCTCACTCTTCTCTTCTCCAGGCTGAACAGGCCCAGCTCCCTCAGCCTCTCCTCATAGGGCAGATGTTCCAGGCCCCTGATCATCCTTGTGGCCCTGCGCTGGACTCTCTCCAGCAGCTCCACATCCCTCTTATACTGTGAAGCCCAGAACTGGACACAATACTCCAGATGTGGCCTCACCAGGGCTGAGTAGAGGGGCAGGATCACCTCCCTCGACCTGCTGGAGATGCTCTTCTTAATGCACCCCAGGATCCCATTGGCCTTCTTGGCTGCGAGGGCACACTGCTGCCTCATGGTCAACTTGTCGTCCACCAGGACACCCAGATTCAGAAAGGTCCAGATTCGCAATGCATTATTTCAACCACATTTGTATTCATAATGAATATAATTCCCAGTTAATAATGAGCATGGAAATAACAAAGTACCAAAAGAGGGAAACTCTTAGGCCTTAAAGAAATTAAATTGGATTGGCAGTGAAAATAATTATCACACAATTTGTCCCCCATGATGACTTTACAGAGCAGAACCTAATGTGACTAACTCTCAGAGGCAGTTTCTAAGGTCCTTTTGATATCCATGCTTTTATAAACTAAAACACAATTAAACTTTTTTTTTTTTTTTAAATAAAGGTTTTGGTTCCTATGAATTTGTTAGTAAAGTCAGACATGGCATTTTTTAAAGATGAACTGCCAGACCATTCTGCTGCCACTGTTGGTTAATCCATTATCAGAGAAGGACCAGTCTTGAGGTGCATGGGCCACTGCTTTTTGAAGGTAGTGTTATTTGAAATATAGCTTTTTTACACATTTTTTTATACCTAATATGAATGTGTCTGTTTTTTCCATTGATTCGTGTTTTAATAGCTTGTTTTAATAAAAAATCATATGTGTGAAGCTTGCGTCTCCCTTGATGATGTAAAAATAAAGTTTCTAGATGTGGCTGCCTCAAAAGTACTGACTGATCTGAAAGACATTTTTTCTTGAAAGATCTTTTTTTGGAGTTGCTAAATTATTATACTTCATATAATCCCAGTGATTTGTAGTTTACTTCCAAAAGAAGGTCTCCTTGTCTGCCCTTAAAGCAATTGCTGTAAAGGTAGAATCTTTTAAGTATTCTTACTTTTCTCTCAGTTAATCAGAAAAAGAAAAAATGGTGTCTGCCCTGTTTTTATAACTTACTGTACTTTCCATTCTGTAAGAGTCCGATCTACATTGTGCTGCGTAACAATCATTTACAATGGACATAATGCATCTTCAGTACATCTCTAAAGTATTTGACTGTCTAACTCTGATCTCAGAGGACTTAATTTATTCATGATAAGAGTGAATTCATTTTGTCTTTTCTTGTGACAAAGTAAATACTACATTTTCTGGTTTATTTTCTTTATAAATAATATACTGTCCAATAAGATGACAGATTTTTATATAGTAACACCTCTTTTTATCTGCTACTGTTTGTCATTGATCTATGGGGGAGCTTTTCTGTGATATGGAATCTGTGGATAAAGTCAGCGTGAGAGATAATGTTGTTGCATCCTGTTGAATTATAAAATAGTAATCTTTAAAAAGATTACATTTCATTTTTGTGAAAGTAGAGCTGGTAATTATTCAAAGATATGACAGTTAGAATGTATTGTTCACTGAAATATACAGGAAACACAAAATTTTCCCCAATATTTCACCTTTTCCTTTGGTCTCTCCTTCCAAAGATTCTTTCTTATATGATTTGTATCTAGATTCAATCACCAAAGTAGTTATCCTATACATGAGGGTAAATGAATTCATAGAAAAAAAACAAAAATAATGGACTTGGGAATAGAGACATTTGTCTTTGTTTACTTCCTGTAGATGTAACCCCCTAAATTATATGCAGCTTTTTTTTTTTTTTTTTTTTTTACCTGAGATCCTCTTGAGACCTAAATGTAATGCCATAAAAGAAAAATGATTTGCCACCTTTCATTACTCTGTGCCAAGTTTCAAAGGCAGTGCTCTGCCTTCTGCAGATATTCTACTTTCGCAGGACAATGAAAAACAAACAGGAAAATATCTACTTAAATAATCTAATTGATGCTTTGTGCATTCTATTTTTCCTAAAAGAGTTTGTAAGTATGTTGCAAAACCAGGTACAGATAGGTTAGCCTGTAAAACAGACTGTCTAGCATTATTTTTTTGTGTCTTTTGATGCCCTATTTTTGTATTTTCATTTTAAGGTGATAAATGACAAGAGAAAACAGTGGACTAATCTGCTTGCCAAGTTCCTTTTAGGTGGTTAAATTGCAGAAGAGTATTTCTGCTTCTATTTCTAAATTTACTTTTAGTCCAAAACTTGTGAACAAGAAGAGATGAGGCAGATAAAGGGATTTTTTTGACTTTTGAAAGTAATCTTTAGTGCATTAATTTATAAACATGGCATCTGGACCTCAGTCTGTTACAGGGGAGGCAACTGATTCCATCTCCACTCCTTTTCAGTCAGTGGAATAACAATGATGCAAAAGAAGGATATATGTAGGGAAAAAAAAATAGATGCTATTTATGATAGTTATGATGCTGATTTTTGCAACCCATTTCCATCATCTGCGTTCATGGTACCTTATAATCTACCAAAGGTGAGTTTAGCATCACAAATAATTTGGAAATTGGAGTTTTGAAAGCTGATTTTTTGACTCTTACGATCAGAATTTAGTTATATCTCATTAGCTGAAATCTCCAGGAAAACAGTTATGTGAGCTGGCATAACGTTTCTTTTATTGAATATCAAAATTCTAAGTTTGAAGAGGCAAATAAATCCAATACAGTATTTACACTGAGGTGACTTAAGGAGTTTCTTCCTCCCTGCAACAAATGGCTAACATTAAGATACATATAAAACCCAAGCACCATATTTTACAAAATATTTTTAACACTGCAGAGTGCACAAAATGAAATTGGAAATTTTTCATATTATTTACTTAATTTAGAAGATTATAATGTTTACTTTCAACTGCTTTATTTAAAATATTTGCAGTGAATTTTTCTGATAGCTTCCAGTTTCCAACTTTCATGTACTACTACAGAAATAATGTGTCAAATTGTTCCTTATTTAAGTCAGTAGGAAGATTTTCTCTGATTTAATTAGCTCGATTTAATTCAGAGTTTTGACGAACTTTATGTTTTATTCTCATGTTAGGATTTGGACTCTTTTGGAAACACATGAAAACTGAACAAGTTTATGGAGTCGTGTCTCCCGTAGAAAAAGTTGATAAAAGATTGACAATGTTTTCTCCGAATATAACGAGGGAAATGACTGATTGCTCTGCGTTTGGAAATAGGTCCTGTCCTGAGCCCTCGAGGTCACCAGGAGTCCAAGGGGTAATGTATCTATTTATGACTGGAGTCTTCCTTCTCACTGTCTTAGGGAATCTGGCCGTAATCATTTCCATCTCATATTTCAAGTGGCTTCACTCTCCAACCAATTTGCTCATCCTGTCCATGGCTGCCGCAGACTTCCTACTGGGCTTCACCGTTATGCCCTTCAGCATGGTTAGGTCTGTGAAGAACTGCTGGTACTTTGGGATCACGTTCTGCAAAGTTCATTACAGCATGGACTTGATGCTCTGCTTAGCTTCCATCTTCCACCTTTGCTCCCTTGCTGTTGATCGCTTTTACGCAATCTGCCATCCCTTACATTACTCCAGCACGATGACTGCCACTGCTACAAGACAAATAATAGTAGTATGTTGGTCGGTGCCTGCTGCATTTGCTTTTGGGGTGGTTTTCTCAGAAGCTTATGCTTCTGGAATTGAGGACTATGAAAATTTGGTTAAGTGCTTGAGTTTGTGTCCACTTGTATTCAACAAAGTGTGGGGCACTGTTTTATTTACAGTGGGTTTATTTGTTCCTAGCTGTATTTTGGTAGGGATTTATGCCAAAATTTTTGTAGTCTCCCAGAAGCACACAAGTTCAGTGTCCCAGGTACACAATCACACCAAAGGTGTTACGAAAAATTGGAGTAAAGATAGGAAAGCTGCCAAGACGCTGAGTATAGTTATGCTGGGTTTCTTAGTATGCTGGTTTCCTTGTTTTTTTTCCATCTTAGTCGATCCATTTTTAAATTTCTCTACTCCTTTACCTTTGTTTGATGCTGTAAACTGGTTCGGTTATTTCAATTCTTTCTGTAATCCACTAATATATGGCTTTTTTTATCCATGGTTTCGGAAATCACTTAAGTATATCTTAAAGGGTAAAATATTCAACCCACATTATCGCACAGCAAAGCTTTCTTCTGAAGATGAGTCACAGTAATGTATTCCAACACTGGTAGCCGCTCTAAAAAATGCAAGGAATTGACAGACTACTGGATATTCATGTTTCAAGAAATGCACTCTAAAATGGACAATAGGAATTTTAGTCTTAGCATTGTAGAATTATCTTACCAAATGTTCCATTCAAAAATAAGACTCATTATTTTGATTTTTATTTATATTTAGCCTCTGTGGTCACTCTTAGTGCTTTGATGATGTTTTAGAAGTTGGACTCTTTCTAGAATCCATTAATGTCTTACTGTTTGATTTCAGAAGATGTTTATATATGATCTGTAACCTCAATCTTTTAATGAATAATTTTGTAAGCATGCAGTAAATCTTTCTTAATGTAAATAAATAATCTCATAGGCAGAATACACCCCCTACTAGGTAGGGTGACAAACTCTGCACCCTTTTGCAACTGGGACATTTATAGTTGTATGGAGTCTGCTATTATTCTCAAAACAAATAGATTGTGACTGTAATTTAGGCTTGAAGTTGAAGGGATATTTTTCCCTCTGAAATCAACAGAATCAAGATTTCAGCCCTCAGCATGGCAAGTACTCCAGCATGTGCTTGCGTGATCTTAGTTCAGATGTCAGGCTCCAGATACCACAAACTATTCTGGTCAAAAACTCGTCCGAGGTTCAACCCACCAAACTTTAACACTGAATTGAAGCCTCTAATTCCACTCTTTACCTCGCTCCGCTCTCTCCAAAGCCAGCACAGAGTCACTGTCAATGTTCAGACCAGACACATCCTTGAAGCAAGGAGGGCTGAACTGCCACTGTTGACTGCAGCTACGGTGGTCAGACTAGCAAAAGCACCCACGTGTTTATTTGATTACTGGTCGATCACATTGGTGCTGGCATACGATACCAGCCACAGCTGTTCATATTCTTTGCTGAAAAGTTTTTAGCATATTTGTGACGATGGGAGCATGTTCTGTTTTGGGTTTGGAACCTTCTGCTGAAGTTTAAACACTTAAAAAAAAAAGAGAGAGAGAGCAAGGAGAAGAACAGATAGCAATGAAAGGCTGATTGGGTGAGTGTAACATTCTTACCTTTCTTAACAAAAAATACAAAACCCAAAGCCTTTAATGCAAATACTCTGCACACAATGACCACCAGCTGATATTCCACCTGATATTCTCAGAAAATGAGAAGGAATCAATGTAAAGTGGTTGAATCATGCTGGAAGATTTTTTTTTTTCTGCTCATTGGTCAAGCAGGGAGAGATGGAGGACATTTATTGTTTGATTTAGGACTGTAGGATTTGAAACCTCAATGACTTTGCAAGATGCTGTGCTATTCCACCTTGTGGTAGACTTGGGGTCTTCTGCCTTGCACAAAACCTACAGCTGCTGAATAATATTCAGCTTTGCGGCTCATACTTTCTGGTGTTCAGGAGAAGTGGACTGCATTTGTTTTTTGCTGTAACGTGCTCACTATGTTCAATTCAACAGGGTAATCCATTTATATTCAAATGCAAGTACTGCAGATCTCTTTGATGATTCATCTCTTGAAATACTATGCTAAGATTTTTTCCTATATTCATGTTAACACAGTAATCTATTTTGTCAATATATAATGTGAAGCATTTTAGCACAAATTCTATCCTTAGTCAAATCCAGACTGCGTTCTTCTCCTTAGGACAGCAATTGGAAGCATTTGGACTTCTATCTTCTTACAATGACTGATTCTAGCAGGAGCTAATGTTGCCCCTTGAGTATATCTCTGCTTTTCTTGATTCCGGAGGGAGCTTATGTCCAGGCAGGCACTTCGGACGAGGAGCACCCTCCTTGGCTCTCCTGCTCCAGGACTCCTCACTTCAGATGCGCAGGGTGGCAAGACACACTGAGGAGCATCCCAGCCACTTTATCCAGATGTAGCCTCAATTCTTGTTCTACCCCTAACAGCAACAAGAAGATTGATCTTCAGATTCAGTGATTTTAGTGATTTTTATCTAAATGTGTGCAATGTATGCTATTTTTTTTTCCTTAGAGTGATTTGCAACTCAACAAGGTAAAGGTTCATATAGTGCCTGCTAGTGGTGAGAATACTGTAAATTCACTTTTTTTTTTTTCTTTTGAATATTTGTGTCACTACCTAAACTGTCTGAAAGGATTTCCTACCCCCTTGTGGAGTCCACAAGCAAGAACAGCTTTAAAGAAAATGGCATCTAAGACTTGCTGCCACTTACGCATCATAAAACAAACAAACAAATAAAATGGCATAAATGACAGTAAGGAACAGATAGACTGGATGAAATATTTTTTCTCTATGCTGTATGGAAGCAAGTGCATCTTATCAAGCCACCTGAGAAAAAAATAAAGGACAAACAGAAGAAATATTGGGTTAAAAGTAATAAAAATGCTCTAATGAGTCTGCCAGAGGATTATAGAGGGTAGTATGACATCATAGTTTTCTTATTAAAGGATATTATCATGTCATAAAAATTCTTAAATACTTAAGCAACACATAAAATAAATGAGTGCAAATTGTCTGGCTAAATAATCTATGCAATTTACCATGACAGAGCAAATATACTTTCACCTTTACAAGCCACCTGCACAATCCATGCACAGATCCAGTTCTGTGCATCGGCTCACGGAAATGGAGACAGCAGAAGCAACAGGATCATAAATATTTTCTTTTTAGATATTTTTCGTTTTCATAATAATTCTAAGTGTATTCTTTTTTTTTTTTTTTTCTCCTTGTCCAGTCCCCCACCAAATAAATGAAAACCAAAAGCCGGGGATCTGAAACAACAATTGCTGTAAAATTAGTTTTATTCTAAATAAAGAATATTGTACCCAGGCTCCCCAGATCCCTGCTCGCAGCGGTGGCTGAAGTGTGCTGACATGGAGTTAGCTGGCAGCAGAAAGCCTGAGAGCCAGATTGTGCCCCATCTTCCTTCAGTTCAGATGCTGACTGTTATAAAATGACTATCTGCATTGCTATTGCTCTCCAGGCCTGCTATAACTTTGCTGCCGTGATGCTTTAAGGGTATTTCTGAAGAAATAAAGATGCATTTTAATTAAAGCAAGAAGGTCAAGATTTCATTCAGAGAAGGAACTGTGTGGTTAGACACATCCCCGCTTTTCTCATTTTATCAATGGTCTAAAAAAAGACAGCATTTTTCCTTATAGGACTAACTCTTGAATGTTTAAGCAGTTTTGGCCTTATCTGTTTTTCCTCCCCAGGATTGCCTGTGCTATAACACTTCAGAGAATATTTCTCCTTGTGTTCCAAACCATGACTTCATCCTCCAAACGATGACTTCATCCACCTTCTCTGGAGCTCACAGCTTGCACAGAATTGCTTTGACTTACTTAGTTAACATTTTAAAGGCTAGAAGTGCAAAACAAACAATTTAGGGTCTAGGAATGTAAGATGAAGGCTTTGCCTCTGTGTTATGAACATGTGCATGGGTGGCATCACCTTTTTTGCAAGACAGAGAAATATTTCTGTCTTGCTTCCGTTTGTCATTTCAAGAAATTCACTCCCCCAGCAAATTTATTGTCTGTTCCACAGTCATAACTGGCTTTTTGTTAGCGTCATGTTATGTTCTGTAGTACAGCCAGATTTTCCAAATCATGCTGGTATCTTGGAGATTTCTTCTGCTGACCCATACATGTCATGGCGTATTGCTGTGCATCACCTGTCTTTTCTGTTTTCTCTCTCTTGACTGTTATTATATTGCTATTATACTTATAATAGTATTCTATCAGAATGACCACCCCTACAATGGAAGCATTTTTCTTAGGCAGCTCATTATTTTTACTCCTGTTTGTCCTTAGCACAGTTTTCTCAGAGCTACTGATGTTACTGTGGCATCCATTGCTTTCTAGTAGTATATGACATATACATTTTCTGCAGCAGGAAAACATTCCAGAAAAATTATTAAAATTCTCTATGTGTCACAACAGGATGCAAGAAAAAAAATTCCTTCAAGAAATGGAATGAAGTAACAAAACACTATTATAATCATAAGATATTTGATTGTTGATGTCTTCCTCTGTTTCTACACCAGTCAATCTTTTTACTAACTTTTCAACACCTAAGGACTTGTACAATGTCTTCTTTTGGTTAGATTATTTTAATCTGCAATGCAATCATTTATGGTTTAGTTTATCTTTTGTTTCAAAAAACTTTTAATATAGTCATGGAAGCATAATCTTCAGACTCTCCTACTGTTAGTATGCTTTCTAGTGTCCCCTGCAAGAACCTGGTTAACCTGTTGTACTCTACAAATGAATTAGCAGCCACTGGAATTACTTCCAGAAACATTTGGAAATATTTATGTGGGTTCTCTTTTCTTTACACTGTCATAAAGATAAGTACAATAACTTTAAAAAATCTAGATAATAGGCCAAAACACTGGCATACACTGTCAAATAAGATAATATGTAATATACCCCTTAACTTAAATTCAGAAAGGCAGTAAAATTCAGTAAGGAATTTTATGTCTGGATGCAAGGAAATGACAGATCATACTGGCAAAATGTGCAGGATGCATTAACCATATTCTCTGCTGTGTGAGGAGAGGTGCAAGCTATGATACATCATTTCAGCAACCACATTAAAGAATCAGTTGTTTGGAAGGCCAGTGTGAACTCTCAAGTTTAAACTGCAGAGTTTAAGCATGAGGTAAATATTTCAATATCTTTGTCTGAAAAATAGCGCTCTAGTCATGCTGAAAGCCAAACTTTCCAAGTAAACAAGGGAAGCAGATTTTTTTTTCCAGTTAGTTAAATAATAAAGACTCCTTATAACAAATAGTCTTATTTAGTATTATATATATATAGTCCTATAGCCTATCGCCTGACATAGTCTTACAGACATTTATAAGCTGCCCTCGATCTGTCTCTATAAACGTAACTTTTTAGTCCATAACAAAAAAAAATATTTTAAATGTAGGGTGATTTAGTCTATGGCATGACCTTTAGGTGATGCCTCTGAATAATCACTTCTCTCTTGCTGCAGCGCTTCGCCCTGC